AGAAGAAGAAGAAAAAAAAGAAGAGGAAGAAGCAAAAACAACAGAATTAGTTTTCTAGAATACAATTCTCAGTTGAGGGTTAGTGTGCCGGATTGATGGAATTTGATACGATTGACCTGACCGGAGTTTGAATTCGTTGACGGTGGAGGAAATGATGGTTGTGGAGGCTGTGGTGGTGGTTGTGGGGGTGGTTGTGGTGGTGGTTGTGGGGGTGGTTGTGGTTTTTGGATGGCGAGTGCTGAAGATGGTATTATGAACGGTGACTTGGAAGTTAATGAAAGCCGGAGTGGCTGAGAAGATAGTGAGCGTGGAGGATATGGTGACAGTGGTCAAGGTGCTGTAAAATGGTAGTTGTGGCTATTGTGGTAGTGGCGGCGGAGGTGGTTGTGCCACACCCCTTGGTCTTTGGGTAACGGTCAGGAGAGTGTGGTTGATGGGACTCACATCCGAACAGATTACTTGACCACAAGGTCCTGCAACTTTCTCAGACCACAATTAATTACACAGACGAAGTTCTGGATTGTTTCATACTGGTGTTTTAGCCGTACAACACACACACACACACACACACACACACACACACACACACACACACACACACACACACACACACACAGGTGGAGGCTGACTCCATACACAGTTTCAAGTGTAGATATGATAGAGCCCAATAGGCTCAGGAACCTGTACACCTGTTGATTGACGGTTGAGAGGCGGGACCAAAGAGCTAAAGCTCAACCCCCGCAAGTACAACTAGGTGAGTACACACACACACATTCCAGAACTCAGGAACCACATATGCAGGGGTATCATATATGCAACATGCCAGGAACATACTCACCTATCTGACACATAACCAACACCCCAGGTATCATATGAGGGTTATATGCAACCTACAGATACGTACTCAACATATGTTTACATCTGGCCAGAGCACATCAGAAACATATATGATAACATACACATCAGTTCTCACCGAGCTCAAGAACCGGATACAATTTCAACATATTGCAGAGGCTGGATAACATATTACGACGAAGCAAAGAGATCAAATCCCACTCATAGGTAAAAATCAAACGAAACTCAGAACAAACATTCGAATCCTCGATTTGAGATCCAATGTTGTCCCTGTGGCATCTATGAGCCTCGTACTGCGTATCGCCTTCGGCTACGCACAATGGTGCTCAATAATCTGCGTATGTCCCGCTGAGCAGAGAGTGCAGATCCCAATGGGTCCTCTCCCCTCCTCTGTTCCTTGCAGGGAGAAAGAGAGGGGAGAGAGGGGGACGGGGACGTATGTGGGGTTGGGGGCGGGGGGGGGGTGAGAGGGGCAGCAGGTGGCACCAGGATAAGAGGGGCGAAAGGTGAAAGGTAGGATGGGGTGGGGGGGTGGGGGAGGTGGTTGAGTGCTGGTGGTCGGGAAGGAGGGGTGGTGCAGTGAAGAGAATTATCGGTAGGAGGAACAGGAGGGAGAAGAGAAAAGGGAAGGGGGAAGCGAACCAGATGTTCGAGAGGAAGTGAAGAAGCCAGAGTAGATTTGAGGATAATTACCAGCGGACGCAGAGCGGGAGACAGTCTCTCTCCCTGGCCCTATAGATCCCGATAACAAACCCCCTACATCCCATACATATACACAAATATATGCGTATTACATTATTACACACTACTTTAAAATTTTGTTTACATGGATAACGTTGCCAGCGTGAGCCAGCAACTCTTAACACCCGCCCCAACAGTCTTGGACAAAAGAAGCTCCACACACACACATGCCCGGTGCGCACCTTCCGCCCTGGCAGCCATTACTCTAACCCGGGGCGTCAGACAACAACAATGTCCTCCCACCTGTCAGCAAACGTCCCTCCCTAACCCCCCTACTGTGTCGACTTATGCATCGGAATGTCGGCCTGGAATGCGGTGGGAATGGTCTCGGGAATGGCTAGGAATGCTGCGGTTCTCACGGCTGCTTTGTCCCGCGTCACCTGTGGTGGTGCAGGAGTCGGAGCAGGTGATGGCCATCAGGTTCCCTCCGCTTAGGTCTTTTGTAAACTGCTCCCCGCGTCAGCGTTGGCCGATAGCGTTATTCAAATTATTGAAGCAAGTAAATTGTTTTTGAATTCATATACCGTCCTATAGGCTAGCTTTTTTTGTTTTTTTTTCTATGGTAGGAAAATAAAAAAGACGTTAGAGGAAAAGCTACTATACTCGGTCACAGTTAAATATAACGCAGACTATATCTGCGTTATAATTATACTTTTTAGTGTTAATTAATCACTTTCTTAATCCTTTTCTAGCCTGAGTGTTTGATCGCCTTTGACCCTTATAGTCCTCCTTGGTATAATATACTCTCAGAGTCCTATATTATAAATAAATATATCTTCAGGTTCATATTGGTTTGATGGTTGAGGTGGCGGTGATTGTTTGGTGATTGTGTGGGGTGGTTGGTTGAGTGTGGTGATGGTTGAGTGTGGTGATGGTTGAGTGTGGTGATGGTTGAGGTGGCGGTGATTGTTTGGTGATTGTGTGGGGTGGTTGGTTGAGTGTGGTGATGGTTGAGTGTGGTGATGGTTGAGTGTGGTGATGGTTGAGGTGGCGGTGATTGTTTGGTGATTGTGTGGGGTGGTTGGTTGAGTGTGGTGATGGTTGAGTGTAGTGGTTGGTTGAGTGTGGTGATGGTTGAGTGTAGTGGTTGGTTGAGTGTGGTGGTGGTTGAGTGTAGTGGTTGGTTGAGTGTGGTGATGGTTGAGTGTAGTGGTTGGTTGAGTGTGGTGGTGGTTGCGTATGGTTGATGTGTATGGTGGCTGGTTGTGTATATGGTAGCTGTGAATGGTGTCTGAACTACGGGAGAGGTGAGATGGGGGGGGGGAAGGAGGGAGGGATGTTTGTGATTGATACAGGAGGGTAGGAGGGTTGTTCCTGAAGGAGTGTGGAGGGAGGGTAGGGGGGAGGAGGAGGCTGTGAGGTAGGGGATAGGGTGGAGAGAGAGAGGGAGGGAGGGGGAGGCCAAGCCAACCTGTGTGGAGGAATCCGTCCGGTGCCCCCCCCCCCCCCCTCACCGTTCCCACGCCTTCCTTCCGCACGACAAGGGCATAACAACCCTCCTCCCCCCTTCCCCCAGGCCTCCCCATCACCCGGGGTCTTCCTGCCTTCGTTACAAGATTTCTCCGTTTCCTCCACAACCTGTAACGGGTTAAAGCACTAGTCCAGGAACCCTTATCTAGCACCTTTACCCTCTAGTCAATACACGTCTGCGCTGTTATCTACGAGGGGAAGGCATACACAGCCTTTGACAAGCCGCTTGCTTCCTGTCCTCCCCCTGTCCATCCCATTGAGGACACTAGATAGACGGTGGCGGTCTTCAGGTAAATCAGGTAAATCCTCGACCCGAGCAAATCTGGACAAATGATGTTGATTGTAACATTGAGTCATGAGTTTGATGACGTTAATGCTACGTTACCTTCAGGTGCTTTCCGGGGCTTAGCGTCCCCGCGGCCCGGTCGTCGACCAGGCCTCGGTGACTTAACATTATTCTTGCGTATTTTGCCAGCGGGGCGACTATGTCTATCACGACTATCGCGTTTAGCTCACCGTGATGTTGACAACAACGGTGCTTCCTGTAGCCATCTTTGTCATGGGAAACTACCTGTGAGCCTCGAGGGAGGTCGCCTGCAGCTATGAGCTGAATATTTACTGTGTGTGTGTCACTGTGAGGTGTGTGGTATCGTCCGTGTTTACTGTGGTGGGTGTGTGTGGTACCGTCCGTGTTTACTGTTGTGGGTGTGTGGTACCGTCCGTGTTTACTGTTGCGGGCGTGTGGTACCGTCCGTGTTTACTGTTGTGGGTGTGTGGTACCGTCCGTGTTTACTGTGGTGGGTGTGTGTGGTACCGTCCGTGTTTACTGTTGTGGGTGTGTGGTACCGTCCGTGTTTACTGTTGCGGGCGTGTGGTACCGTCCGTGTTTACTACTGTGGGCGTGTGGTACCGTCCGTGTTTACTGTTGTGGGCGTGTGGTACCGTCCGTGTTTACTACTGTGGGCGTGTGGTACCGTCCGTGTTTACTGTTGTGGGCGTGTGGTAGTCTACAGCTGTGTGCTGCCGACGGCAGTCGCGGTGACACGCCCTCCCTGGGGGAAGAAGGAGGAGCTTGTCGGTAGCGGGCGTGGGAGGTGTCACACCGTGGGAGGCGGGTCAGGGGGGAAGCACCGCAAGGTGAGGGGCGACGAATCACGTTTTGGGAGCCTGACGATGTTTGCAACCTATTGAGCAACGTCTTGGCTACACGTTAGCAACAACTGGCGTCTTATCCCTGCAAGAGCAGACCAAATACTATTCATTAAGCCAGTAATATCCTGAAGAAGTTAAATTCTAATTAGCACAAGCAGTGTTGGTATGTTTTTATAGCACTGAAACGTTCTCGTGAAAGATGGATGATAATTGACTGGATTCTGGACTCCCAGAACCCAGTCCAGCTATACTCCAAGAAGGATTTCAGTCCAGTCCACGAAAAAAATAAGCCCATTTACACATCCAAATAAAAAAAGAGAAATGAATACAGTTATCACTGAAAAAGCGAGAAATTTGGAGGTAAAAATTAGTTGAAAATCAGCCTTTATGTAGAGTAGCGATAGGGAAGAAGGAGGGGATCAAATCCTGATTTCCCTACTCCTTTCTATATATAAAAAATAGGGAAAAAGATAATCAGTATTCTGGCAATAGGGAAGACTAATGGAATAATATCCTAGCAATAGGGTGGAAGAGAATCACTGAGGAAATCCATTAGAGCAATGCGGGGATTCGAACCCTCGACCTGGATATACTTCCAAGCCGCGCACCTTACCAGATAAAGGGATCGAACCCCCATCATTGCTCCAGTTGATTTTCCTCACCGACCTTAGCCCATGAGTGTGATATGGTCCTCTATGTATGTGAAAAAAGAGACTCGGTGTCCTAGCAAGAGGTAAGGAGAGAAGAGAATTAAAAAAAAAATCCCCCCGTGACCAACTCACGTCTTTCTTCATGGCGTCCAGGATCAGGGACTTGAGCTCGTTCAGGCAGGTGTTGATCCTGGCTCGTCGCCGCTTCTCCATGATGGGCTTGTTGCTCTGAGAGGGACGAAGGAGAGTTGCAGACACACACATGACAGTTGCATTCGCAATCGTGAGTTTGATGAAATGATTTTTTTAAGGGGGAGGGGCATATTGACTGTTTACTGAACTGTGTGCTAATAGATGGCAATTTCCCATTAGGAAAATATTTGAAGCAGAATTGGAGCGGGATTCCCCCAGCATCCTGGGTCGTCTGGGATGACCTGGGACGTGCTGTCGTACCCCAAAAAATGTTCATATTATATATATATGCGGAAAATCCACAGAGAAACCGGAAAAGATAGATGAACGTTTCGGCCGAAGAAGGCCATTGTCAACACTTAACTTGACCTAGCAATATACCATATACCTCGTGAACAAGATTGAATTGTAATTAACCTTCAAATTAGAAGTCTGAATCGCGTTCCTTAACGCTGTGATATGTGGAGAATGTTAATGATTTACATAAATTATATAAGTTGTTGACGGGAAATGAAAAGAATCTAACGTACCTTTCTGAGCTCGGCCTTGGAGAGGTGCATGTTGTCGTGGCAGTGCTCGTCGTCGTCGAGGGCGAGGGGCCCGTCGTCCCCGTCGTCCTCCAAGTGTTCAGTCATACTCAGCACAGACAGCATCTTTCTCTTGGTGTGTGGCCTCCGTGTCACTCTCCGTGGTTCGTTGGACCCTTACTGGCTCCTATAGGGGGGGGGGGGGTCACCTCCGTGTCACACGTCCTGGTACGTCACCTCCGTGTCACCCGTTCTGGTACGTCACCTCCGTGTCACACGTCCTGGTACGTCACCTCCGTGTCACACGTCCTGGTACGTCACCTCCGTGTCACACGTCCTGGTACGTCACCTCCGTGTCACACGTCCTGGTACGTCACCTCCGTGTCACACGTCCTGGTACGTCACGCCTCTCTGTGTCAACTCCTCGCAGCGGCTTTACGAACGTCTCACGCCTCAGTTGGTCACACTCGGAATAAAACGCTTAGTGATAAAGCCAATACGTCATTGACCTCGCCGATTACCAGGGCAGTTCTGGTAAATCTCAGATACAGGGTCATCGGGTCAATTACACATGTGGTTAAAGCTTCCTCGTTCCAGCTTTCTAATCGGGATTAAACGAGGGAATGTCTCTGCAGAAGTGCGCAGTGGCGCCTGGGATTGTGTTATCAGTCGCACCTGCGCTCGCTGTATCTTCGTCAGGTGCGCTGGAGGGCGTCGCGAGCAGTGTGGTGGCTGTCACCTGTGTCGTCCCCCAGGAGCGACTGAGGGCAGTGCGGAGCGTGCGTGCGTGCGTCGGTGCGCACGACTGTGTGAACGGTAAGTGAGAAGTTCCCAACCACTGCCCCATCTTCCTCTCCCCCCCCCCACCTCCAAACCTACCCCTCCCCTTCCCAGGCCCTTACACTACCTCCCCTCCTGTCTTTCCTTCTTCTCTCGACTCTCATTCTTTTCCCTGAGCCAGTACTGCTGCATCCCCCTCCCCCCCCTTCCCTACAACACCTTCCCCCCCCCCACATACTCATCCCACAATCAACCCCCTCCTTTCCTATAGCAGATGTCCAGTCATAACCACACTCTACCTCTACAACCCCCCCTTCTCCCTTCCCCCCCATCCCCATACCACCAATAAGTCCTCACTATCCCCTGGTGGTTCCACAGGGGGGGATAGTTCTAACCCCACCTTGACCTGTACGTATTTCTTCTCAAATCTCTGATATTTTCTCCACTTGTAAACTATGTGGTAATCTTCTTCGGTGCCGTCAATCCGTTCCTGTCTGTGGCCCGCGAGCACTCTTCAGTCTGGTGGACGCTCGAGTTTATATTTTTTTGAATTTTTTATACCTGAAGAACACTACGCTGGTCCTGCATAACTGCACGCATGCGCACGTATGTGTATGCCCGTGTATATGTACCGCATTTCCCGGTGTATAGAGATGCATATTCGCCAATTATATACAGTATTTATATACAAGAAGTCATGCATTTTTTCCCCTACAAAACAAATTGAGAATAACTTCTAATAAATGTATGGTAAAACATATTCAAATTATTTTGCTTCCTTAAAATATACTTTTTAAAATATGTGCGTCTTTTATACGCCAGCAAATGCGGTATTTAGTTTTGTATGTACGCCCTGATGTGAACATTTATGCGTTTCTGTGAGCATAAGCTCACAGAAACTTAAAATTAATTGTGTTTCAGGCACCCATAAGAAAAATATACATTCCTTCACAATATTTGCTTCATGTGAAAGTGAAAACTGTCATTTTTTTATGCTTATCTTTACCAAAAGAGAGCAGTGTCACTCATCTTGTGAGTAACCTTGCTCATCATGAGTAAGGTTACACATGTTGGGGAGTGTCACTCATCCTATGAGTAAACTAAGCCCCCCCATGAGGATAGTAATGGGCAGAACCACTCATTCTTTAAGTAAAACCTATACCCTTTTCAGGACAGTGCCACTCATCCTGTGAGTAAACCTGTCCTCATGAGGCTCGCACCACTCATCAAAGGGGTTAAACCTAACCTAGAAAGAGCAATACCACTCATCCTCTGAGTAAACCTAAGTAACTATCAAAAGTAAACCCCCCTAATAAAAATCATAGCTATTAACTACAACTTTTACAAACTTTACTCTTGACAGTTGAAATAAGAAAGTCCTTTTCCAAACACACTTCTCTGCCGTTTAATTTTGTAGTGCCCAAAATTAGCTGAAAATTTTGACTTGCAGCTAAGTGTCACAGGAGCAACACAGGAACCAGCAGCAACACAGGAACCAGCAGCAACACAGGAACCAGCAGCAAGACAGGAACCAGCAGCAACACAGGAACCAGCAGCAACACAGGAACCAGCAGCAACACAGGAATCAGCAGCAACACAGGAACCAGCAGCAACACAGGAACCAGCAGCAACACAGGAACCAGCAGCAACACAGGAATCAGCAGCAACACAGGAACCAGCAGCAACACAGGAATCAGCAGCAACACAGGAACCAGCAGCAACACAGGAACCAGCAGCAACACAGGAACCAGCAGCAACACAGGAACCAGCAGCAACACAGGAACCAGCAGCAACACAGGAACCAGCAGCAACACAGGAACCAGCAGCAACACAGGAATCAGCAGCAACACAGGAACCAGCAGCAACACAGGAACCAGCAGCAACACAGGAACCAGCAGCAACACAGGAATCAGCAGCAACACAATGCACGTTTTAAATCAAATAGGTACTAATGAAAGGCTGATATTAAACAAATCAGTTCCTGGAGTAATGTTAAGTACAGACTTGAGAGTAAGACGCTAGTGCATCATAATATGGTAACACTACATTAGTAAGACGCTGGTGCCTCGAAGTATGGCAACATAGCCATCAGACGACTGAAAGACTGGATGAAATGAAGTCAAAAGACTGAATAGCCATCAAAAGACTGATGCTATATTCGCAATAAGACTCATAACAAAGAATTAAAATTGGCCCAGTTTTGAGCCCAACCACTTGGGCTGGACGGTAGAGCGCCGGTCTCGCTTCATGCAGGTCGGCGTTCAATCCCCGACCGTCCAAGTCGGCCGGGAATTTCCCTCCGTCTCATCCCCTGACCCCTTTCAAGTACTTCATAGTCGTAGTGGCTTGGTGCTTTTCCCTGATAATTCTCTCTCTCTCTCTCTCTCTCTCTCTCTCTCTCTCTCTCTCTCTCTCTCTCTCTCTCTCTCTCTCTCTCTCTCTCTCTCTCTCTCTCTCTCTCAGGGCTAATTTTGATTTTAAAATATGTGTAATTGTTTGTCAGGCAGCATCGCAGACCAGTGGGGGAGAAGAACGAACAGAAGACCTATGAAGGAATAATGACATGGAACGAGCCACGAGTCCCAGCCACGAGTCCCAGCTATTGGTTTTGGTAACTAATTATTTAATAAATAATTATTTACCAACGTTATTCAGCAATTCTAAAATAATGAAACGGATCTTAAGCCTCTAATTAAATGTCAATTAGCTTAACTTCGATTAAGGTAGATTTTGAATAAGGTTTTAATAGTAGATTCAATTGGTAACCACTGCTCTTCGACCTCCTTCAGTCGTATATTGGAAATATTGCCAGGACACAAGTGAAGGTTTTCAAAAGGCATTGGACAAGTTCTTGCAGGAAGTGTCAGAGCTGCTGGCTCCCTGCAATGGATCCCTGCCAGCAACAACCTTTCAGGTAAAATTATCACATGACAAGCCTATTCCAAGATTCACTAAGAGTTTCGTAAGTGGATGAGTAAATGCAGTAATTATACAAAATGGGGGAATGTATCACTATCGTACAGCATGAAATTTCTATTTTTGTCACGTTTTAATGAAAATTTTAAAAATTCAGTTAGAAATATATTGAAAATAACATATAAATGTGTCATAACAAAAAGTCTTTATTTGATGCTTATTTTTCTAGTGTGAGCTTGATGGGGGTCATTTCCCCTGACAATGCGTGTCTGGGGAAACTGCAGCTTAGCACCTCCTATGGGCCCCAGACTGGGCTTGAGAACTAGAAGAATTATAAAAATCGACTACCAGAAACTACAAGAAAACTTCGTGCAATGGTTTTACCAAAAGCGTCTCTCGTGGTATTTGTTGAATCGTACTTAATTTGACTGCACTTGGCAGAAGCAGGCGACATCGGAGTAATAGCACCTAAAGCAACAGATCAATCTCATATATGAAGCCTTGAACCTCTTTATGCCCGACTCAGACAGGCAGGAGTCCCTTAAACTACATATTAGTGTCACTCGCATACATTCCCTGTCAAGTACTAGCAAGAATAATGAAAAATATTAATGAATCATCTAGTTTCTAAAGAGTGCAAACCTAGTCTCCAGGCACCAACATTGCTTCAGAACAGATATAAGTATCGCTTAACGAATCAACTAGAGTTTTATGACAAGGCTGCAGCGATTCATCAGGAATGTAGAGGATGAACAGACAGCCTCTCCTTGTATACTCGGAAGGTATTTCATACAGTTCCACACAAGAGATTACTACACAAACTTGAGAATTAAACCACAGAAATAGGAAGGCTTGCTAAATGGGACAAGGAATTCCTCTCTGACAAGAAACAGGATTGTGAAAACGGGACAGACAACCGACAACTGATAAAGCGGGGCTGAGGAGTCAGGATTCGACCCTGGACATTTAGACGCGAACATATTCATTATTCCTAGAAATACTTAAAGGGCAAAAGTTTCAAGCAATTACCTGTGAATAAATTAATAGTAACTATTTCAAGTTACTGTGGTCGAACGTTTCGTTTATTCGACTCGTATTAGTGCAGAGGCTTTAATCAAGCCGGTAAACAGTTGTCAAGTTACACCGGAGACAGAAAGACAGAGAGACAGAGAGACAGAGAGACAGAGAGACAGAGACATAGACAGAGACAGACAGACATGAGTCTTTAAAACACCCTTAGGGGTCAACCTATTTGGGTAAGGTGTCTGCCGCACTTCAACAAAGAGGGTGATGTAATTCAAGCAGGCACAGTGAAGATAAACAACGGTATGCGGGCGAGGAACGTGACGCTGGGATAGATTGGGATGGCTGGATAGATAGATGAGCCAGGGATCGGGGTGGGTACTTGGGAAGCGAAGACAGGAAAGGATGAATGGAGTGCAGGACTTCAGGATAGAGTGAGGCTTCAGGGGTGAGAGAGAGAGAGAGAGAGAGAGAGAGAGAGAGAGAGAGAGAGAGAGAGAGAGAGAGAGAGAGAGAGAGAGAGAGAGAGAGAGAGAGAGAGAGAGAGAGAGAGAGAGAGAGAGAGATCGTGGTGGGGAAGGGACAGGAGATAGTGGGAGAGGTGGCTGTGATGGAGAATGGAGGGGAGGGGGGGATACTGAAGCTTCCTGCGGCCAGTAGGGATCATCTTAGCCGTGGCGGAGCGGTCAGCCAGCGTGACCACTCTCCGTGATGTACGGTTTCGTCATCACATCTCACTGTCATTCAAACCCGTCCTAACCCCCCTTCAGAGCCTTCGCCAGGGCGACTGAAGACAACTCAAGGGCCCCAAGCAGTATAATAATGCAGAGAAAATTTTGTACCCAATATTGTTTTAGCTGCAATAAAAGGAAAGCAATTTAAAAACGTGTGGAGAGGAAGTCAATCAGGAGCCCGGGAAGGAACCTACCGACCCCCGTTTTCTTTCCGGGGTTGATGGGCGGCTGAGGATGGGTACCTGTCAGTTGATATTTCATTAATATTTACGCTCATTTACAAAGTAATTATTCTGTTGAAATCTGTAACGAGTCGCACTTTGAATGCTGCTTCTACTGCGGAGGCAAGCAAGCGGAAAGCAGGCGAATCTTGGGCAAGGGGAAGGTGGGGCGTGTGTCGGCGTGGTGGCAGGCGTGTGTGTGTGATCACGGCAGCTCCCAGGCGGCAACAGTACAGGCGACGTCGTGGCCATTGTGTTAAACTGTGGCACACCGTCCGTTCCTCAGTGCTCCTGCACCTTTTTGCTTCGCCCCACACGCGACGGACTCCCCCATCGGGAAGCTCCCCCTTAGGAACTACCGAGGCCTACACCTCGCAGTATGCTAAGGTCCTGAAATAATCGAGGATTATATGGGGAAATCGAAGTTTGGAGAAAACGGGTTTTAGCCAGAGAGACGTACAAGACGGTGAGCGAAGGATTACGGGAGAGGCGGCAGTGACTAGCTGTGAGAATGGTGGCGGGAGGTTGTTCCCACAGGCGGGCACCTGCTGCCCTTACCGGCCAGCTGGGTGCTCCTCTTTCTCCCGCCAGGATTTCAGGGATTTACACCTCTGCTAATACAAGCTATCAAGAGGAAATTGATAGAGAATCTTCAAAGAGAAATCCCCGAGACACGTCTGATTAATTTCGAGTTATCTAAAAAAAAGAGAGGATTAACCTGACTTCCGGCAGTGTTGCACGTACACGCACACACGCGTGCACACGCACTCAACTCCTCAACAGGACCTCCTTCATTGCCTCAAGTATTGGTATCGGGTTTCCGACGTTGCAACCAGCTCCCACACAATTCCTCCCAACACGCTGCAGTAACTAAATTACGGCTTCCGTCACTGCACTTCACCCCATGGCCAAGTGAATCCCAACTTGAGACACCGACGGACACTGGCGACCAAAGCCACCGACGGACACTGGCGACCAAAGCCACCGACGGACACTGGCGACCAAAGCCACCGACGGACACTGGCGACCAAAGCCACCGACGGACACTGGCGACCAAAGACACCGACGGACACTGGCGACCAAAGACACCGACGGACACTGGCGACCAAAGCCACCGACGGATACTGGCGACCAAAGTCACCGACGGATACTGGCGACCAAAGCCACCGACGGACACTGGCGACCAATCATACTGCCAATGACCCAAAGCCTTCATGGTGACCTCTAGTAACATACCTTTTGGGTCACCAAAGGTTTCTGATGATTATAATGGTTTGTAAAATTGAATGAGAAAAGACTATCACTGAGGTGATATTTTTGTCGTCGTCTCCTCAATTTCTAGTGTGTGATTTGGTCAACATTTTCAGCCACGTTATTGTGACTTTTCATCTGCATTCTTTGGAACAACATTATTAACGTCGATTCATAGTTTTTGTCAACGTTATTTGCCCAAGGGGGGATCTACAGCACGTAACTATTGTATCGCAAATTGTTGTGCTAAACTACTTAAGAAGTAGTCAGTAGTGCCCTAACCACCATACATATGTGTACATGCACACACTTTAGGCTTGTATCAAGGTCCCAAACATGGTCGAACTACTGACCCTCCTCAGGAATCAACCACACAACAATTGCCTAACTGAGATACGAAGGGGATATTAGGTAAAAGTAAACGTACCCAACCCCTTCTGTCCATTCTGGGAATTCAACCCTGGATTCTCGATTGTGAATAGAGAACAAAGTCAACTGCATTCCAAGTACCATTACTATAAACACTAGTGTCACACCCAGTATTGCTATGGGCTCACCATAGCCCGTGCTACTTGCCCCGCTCCTGTGCCAGGTAAGTTACGGGTTCACCATAGCCCGTGCTACTTGGAACTTGTTCAGAGTAGCTGAATCTATAACAACAAGCAACCCAGTATTGCCCATAAGCCCTACTATCACTCCCTCCCCCCCAGAGGAGCATGTACAGCCCCAGAGGAGCAAGGACAGGACCGCTCAGTATAGGAAGAAAATCCGCTGTGTTGCTCATCCTGTCACTAAGGCAGCCGAGGCGTACCTAACTGTCTCAAGGCAACAGATCGTCAAATATATTAATATTTACAGTCACATAACAAGAACAAGAGATGGGGGGGCATGGCAGAAGACAACAATGAAGGGACATAACCTAAAATGCAAGAGGTTGATTAAACGTAGACTCAACAAAAATGTCAGGCAGCTGAACTCTTGGGTAATTTCGCTCGTCCCGAACCTCTTGGGCAACTGACGTTAATGTAACGTAATCAGCCCTGACTCTACGTTCAATTGATGTTCTTCGAGCACATTTCCCCATCATCCTCCCCTCCACCCCCCCCCCCCCCCCCCCCCCCCGGCTAGGAATTTCGGCCCGACTCATTAAGGCGACGAAAGGAAACATCGTCTCCTCGGCACTGTGTTGGTTCAGCCGATCATCATTACATAACAGTTCGTCCTTGTTGATGTTGTATTCCCGGATGCACAAGTGGGTCACAGCTGACCCCTTCCCCATCCCCCTCCCCCCCCCCCCCCCCCTCGGCTGCCTCCGGCCCTACAGCAGTGACGCGAATGAGGTTCATGAACCGTCAGCCTTAATGGCGTCACGAGGAAACCCTCTGTATCGTTTTTTTAAAAATCCCTTCCTACCTTCTCCCTCCTCCCTTTCCCTTTTCCCTCCTCCCCTCCCTTCCATTCTCCCTCCCT